CGGAAATTATAGAATATTATAAAAACGCTATACGTATTTCTTTGTAATCTTGCTACTGTACATCAATAATACTATGTTTTACACAAGGCTTTCGACATGTTTTGATGACTTAATGTCCGATTGGCTATTCGATCTATCAATTAAAAAAATTGCCATCCACAATCTTTACCCGAGCGTACGGCGCGTTGCGTTCCGCGCACACCTCAAAGAGCCATCAGACCACCACGGATGGCGTCCAATAGGATTGATGCCGATACGGAGCCGCGGAGAACTTAACAGGGTTACCGGGGCTCCGGCTCAAAGTGCAAGAGAAGGAACGGGGTGGTTTTTAGTCAGTAAGAGTCTGACACTCCCTCTCGCCTCACGCGGGAGAAGTCATTCTTTGCCCCCTTCAAAAAAAATCCACAATCTTTGGGCTGCTGGCGTTTAACATTGCTTAATCCCCTTCGACAAATAAATGTTATTATAGGCTCAAATTACTAACAATACTCTCGTTTTTAAAATAATCACGTGATTTTCGTTAACCGGTTTTAAAGTTAAGAAGGCTTGGTACGAGTCTTTTTTATGTTAAACAAGATCAAAATGTTACCGCGTCCGGCGCACTGATTGGCCTGTTCCAATGAATAAACCAATCAGAGAACGCGGTAACATTACGATATCGTTAATCATAACATAAAACAAACTAGGCCCTCAGACATCAACTAATCTCGTCATCATAGTAAAATAAAAAACGTCTAAAGAGTATCTGTAGAAGAGTTCAATAACCATTAACTTAAACGGTTACATGGAATTTTGTACTGTATTTCTATTGTTATAACCTTGACATTTGCTTGATGAAACCGTTTATCTGATTGTTATTATCTGTAGAAGATGTATTGTGCGTAGATCATGCGCAAGTTGTATGGAACTCATATCTTGTCTGACGAAAAATTGGGCAATTACTGTTTATAAGTAAGTGTAAATTTAAACTTATTCAAACAAGCGTTGAAAAAACTACTAGTTAATAAATGCTATTATAGTGTTCATGACTTTGTAAATGACAAATGTTTGTAATTTTTCTTTGTTGTCCCTGGTCAGGAGGTTTGAGTCTCTTATAGGAATGTTACAATTTAAAAGTTTAATAACTGTTGTAATTGGATTTAATATTATATTCCACATTTGTACACCAGAAATGGTCAAACATGTTGATACTATGCTCACTGCTCATCTGTACAACTTATAATGTGCATTTATGATGTATTATTATTTAACACGTGTTTTTGCAAATAAATAATCTTTGTCTTTGTCTTTGTGTCTAAGTGAATAGGTAGAAAAAGAAATGGTACAATAGGGCCCTAAAATTCAACAAATTATGGCTTAGGGCCAATTTTCCGATCATCAGTTAATTTTTAACTGTAGAATAAAATTGACATTTGACAGTTTTTAGTAACTATGGAAGAATTGTCAAATGAAATTTATCTGGCGTTGAAAAAATCGGCCCTTAATGACATTATTAACCGACCTCAAATAAAGGAGGTCTGATCTCTAATTTGAATTCAAGAAAAAAAAAATTTGTCCCGCATTTTTTTTTGACGGGGGACAATCATCCAATGATTCTTCCGCCTTGGGTAAAGAGAGATGGAGTGTCAGACTCTTACTGACTTAAAACCACCCTGTTCCTACCTGCACTTCGAACCGAAGTCCCGGCAACCTGTTAGGCCTCCGAGACTCCATATCGGGCATGAGTCCTACTGAGCCCCATTTGTGGTGGTCTGATGGTTTTTATGATTGTCTTCTATGCCAATGACAAATTGCCCGATGAATTTGGCTATAACATTCCGCCTACACCCAAAATGACAATTTATGTACTAGTTATACAAATATAAATGAATTCATTCAGGAAATTAACATTCTGTAGTAAGAATTTTTTGGCAAAGCATCTGGATTAGCTATAAAAGGAATCTTGTTTATCCATGCTAATGTTATGGTATGATATGCCTTTTTATTTTTTAAACTGTATCTATGGATATCAGGAAGAGGTCAAGATTATGTTAATTCGTTACAAATGCGTAATTTCGCACGGATATTTGGCAGATATATCAATCTAGTCATTTGAATAAATATGTACGAAACTATGTAGATTGTAGATGTTGTAAATAAATAAATAGTTGCCAATTATATTGACGACAGATTAACGTTAATATATCGAAGTACATGTATCAAATTAATAGATATACCAATGTTAGACAAAAATTTTGGTACGTTATCCAAATAGGTAGTTAGATTTTTCTGGTGTGGTATAAAAACTAGTTGGTACTATTATAGGAAAACAAAAATAAAACATCACCCGATACCCCAAGGTTAACAACACTAAATAATTTGCAAACTAATTTAAATAATACAATTAACAATAACAAAGCAGTCAAGTGCTAAAATATGTAAAATACACAACTCATTAATCATTTTTATATGTTTTTGGAGACTGACGAAACTTCAAAGGAAATAAAACAGAGACATTATCTTATTAGTGTCATCTTCCTCGTTAATATAGATGTCGCTAGGGTGCTTAATAAGTACCCCATCCTTATTTTACGAATTCTATGTAAAATATTGCCAGTTGATCATAATTGCGTGCCTTTATGCGGCAGTTATCCTTTAAAAATACCCAACTTCAATCAGGTGAAGCAGGATCTTTATGTAGGAGCTGCGTGTCGTGGGTTACCGGGGTTCCAGCGGGAAACAGGAGTAGGAACGGGGTGGTTTTTAGCCAGTAAGAATCTGACAAACCTCTTCTCACCCAAGGCGGGAGAATTCATTGTATAATTTCCACCCCTTAAAAATGATAACAGTAACGTCCAACAGATCGTTCAGGGAGTTATTGGGCTATGGATCCCTAGTGGCTGATAGAATGATGATAATGATGCTGAAGTTAGATCAAAAACTACATGAGCACACCTTTGCATACTCTTCATCGAAATATGTCTACTTGTCTTATTACCAGTACAGGTTCAAGTGCTGTCCATGAGCACATGTGGTGCAATGCAGTTGGTCAATGGTGTTGGTGGCCTTTTAGCAAAAAATTAGCATACACTAACAAAACACTACTTATTTGCCGCTTGACACAGATTTTCAACCTAAAATATACTTTTATCTGATTCCACTTTTGCTTGTTAAGAAACTGGTGTTCATTCAAGTGGTTTTTTTTTTGTCTCCAGCAATGTTTATGTAAATACATCGTGTATTACACTGTCCAATTTGTGGTTTGTTACATGTTTTTTATGATGCATTTGTAACTATTTAAATATATCTATTTTTAGCAACAGTTTATAGAAGGTTTATTGTTTAACTCGTCGAGTACCGTCATTATAGACACAATTATAAAACAATAGGTTGCGGTCACCGGTGACCGCTTGGTGTTTATTTTTTTATTTTTTTTTTAAGAAAACGTTGCCCTACACTAGGATTTTCTCCTGTGTCGTGGGTGCGTTTACAAACATACAAGTTCACATACACAATGACACCCAGACCCGAAACAACAATTTGTGGATCGCACAAAGTGTTGTCCCGTGCGGGAATCGAACCCGCGACACGTTGCACGGCAGCCGGTTGCCCAGCCACCGCACCAACCGTGCAGTCGTTGTGTTTGACAGTTTAAATATGTGCATAACGTCCTCTTCATTAAACTACGTATCTATCTAGGCTTTTGTTATCACAAAATCATCAACAGAGTGCCCACTGAGCAAAAGCCTCTTCTCACATGTAGAAGGCATTTTTGAGCATTAATCATCACACTCAAGGCGGATTGACCGATAACTGTTATTTGTTGGCACACTAACCGAGAAATTGGACCCCATTTTTGAAACCATACTTATGCTGCCTAGTTAATATTAATAATTTATTTATTAATTAATATTAATTGTGTCTATATTGACGGTGCTCGACGAGTTAATTTAACTAATGAATAGTTCAACATTTTTTACCGTCTCCTTATTTATTTATTTATTATTATGTACACATGCATTCGTTCTTGCGTTCTTAGGGAAGATCATGGATTACAATGCAATACGGAGTATTACGAAATTCTACCTAAGAAAACAGTAATATGACTTTAATGTCCCTAGAAAACTTCCATCACTTTCATAGCTACAGAAAATATTAATATGTGTCCTCTTTTTTCTATACTACAATCCTTACATGGTTTAGCTTCCAATTCTGTCTCACAAGTCAAGATGGAATGAAAGCAATAATTGAAAGTATAACCTTGAATTAACGGATTTGTGGGTATACTTTTTTGTTTTTGTAATGTTCCGGCCAATTTGCTTTCACCTTGGTCATGGACCATATAAAACTTATTGAGCGTTTAGTAAAGAGATTAGCACTTTAACTACCAACCTGAGCAAGGTCCACATATCCTAAGGGTTTTCACATATGTATGAATTGTTTAGGACTGCCTCGTTGGCCGAGTGGTCGCAAGTGCGACTGCCAGGCAAGGGGTCTATGGTTCAATTCCCGTTCAATTCCCGGGTCGGGCAAAGTATTACAGGATTTTTTTAAAAATCTCAGTAGTAGCACGGAGTCTGGAAATGTGCCTGGTATATGGCAATAGGCTCACCCCCTATTACATGGGACTCATAACGTAAAGTCAGTTACTGTAATTGGAGTTTCCGCCGATACGACTGTTTAAAAAAAACGAATGAAAGTGGGTGTTACTTCTGTGTGCACCTCTGCCTACCCCTTTGGGGATAAAAAGCATGATGTTATGTTATGCATTTTTTTAGCTAAGTATTTCTTGAGTTTCTTTCTGTGTGTCTTCCTAGAATGTCGAATCATCAGATTAAAAATACCCATTACGTGCAAAAGATACCTAATAAGTAATAACCTACATACGAAAGAACTGGATACAGGCACCACTTGAACACTTCTCTGGTGTAGATGACGATCATTGCTTACCATCGGGTGATTCGTTTGCTCGTTTACCTGTTCAATATTAATTTTCATTTGAAACCTTTTTTTTGTTCCAGGAACATGGAGGTGATAGGCATAATGGGTGAGGGTCGGGAAGACGCCTGGGCCCGCACCATGCAACCACCCAGACTTCTCATGCAGAGGGTGCACATACCTTTCACATTTAAAGTACAGGAGAACGCACCAATCGGATATAATGGTAAGTTCTCTATGAATAAC